TTATTACTACAAAGTCCACATCAAAGGAGAAGACATAGTGAGATAATTGATGTGTATCAGATATCGATTGGTTTGCAGAAAAAGGCATGAATATACTATCAAAGATCCTATTTGGCTTTGTGCTTTCTGAGATTTGGTTTAACAAGGGTAACATAGCTAACATAGTGCATTTTTACGTCAGTACATATTTATATGGTGAACACTCTAGAATACCCTCCTAGGAGACATGGATGCTAATATTTTCTGGCGAAGCATTAAAGAATGCCGCTCCTCTCAAAACTGTAGCAACAAACACACACACCATTAATAAAAATTCTTATTTTCTCATATCTGACTTTTGAGTTTAATAAAGTATAGCTTTTGTTGCTAAGTCACAGAATCTGTCCTATTTAACAAAACATTTGCAGTTTACTCCTCTTATCTGAAGATATTGATTTTTCTATTGGATCACAGTTCAGTCATGCTATACCTTGCCCACGAGATGGTTCAGCAGGTGTGAACCTGCAATAATGAGTGCTCCAGGCTATCTACTCATCATGGGCTTCTCATCTGAACCTGAATTTGTTTTCAGCTGCAGACACTCTTTTCACCAGGACCACTGTGCTGTAGTCAGCAGGAACTCAGCTAATTATTCCCTTTCTTGACCCAAAGGAACCAAGGCCAAGAATTGTGTTCCTTATTATCCAAGAAATGGAGGGGAAGGAAAATAAAAACAAGAAATTCAGTTTATACAGTGTTTTTCAGGACCTCAGAATGCCTCGACGCATTTAACAGCCATTAATGTACTTTTAGGTGTAGCCGTTGCTGTAACATAGGAAAACATTTTTTTTTTTTTTACACAGCAAGATCCCACAATTGCCAACGACCAATCTGTTTTGGGGATGTTGATTAAGGGATAAATAGTAGCCTCAACACTTGGGAGAACAGTGTGCTCCTTCTTGAAATCAGGATCTCTTACAGCTACCTGAAAGACCATTGGTTATTCAAAAGATGGCACCTCTGACAGTGCACAACTCTTTCAGTGCTGCATTGGAGTACTAGCCTGGGTTATGTGTTCAAGTCTGAAAGCAGGGCCTGAACCTATGACTTTCTGACTCAGAAGTAGGAATGCTCCCAGCTGAGTGTGTACGATACCAGATATTGCAACGCAGACAACTGGCTTGCCAAACAACTGGCTGCCTGGTCTTTAGCAACCTGGCAATGCACTTACCAAACAAGCCTCAGAAACCTATGGCACATATATTTTCGAAGCATTCTCCAATATAAAGGTTTCTTCCTTGCTTGATAATAATGTGGAAGTGCCATCATAACAGGCACTGTCTTATTCAATAAAGCACATCACTAACTCCCGACACAACTAAGGATGGGAAATTAATGCAGCCTTAACGGCATTACCCACATCCCAAGAAAAACTGAAGAAAATTAAGTTTTACATGCAGGTCCTTTCTTTCATTACATCAATCTCCAAATCCTCATGCTTTAACAAAGTATTAATAAATTTTAACAATGTTGTGCATCCTGAAATGATCAATAGTTCTGTTCTCTGTAGTTACACCTACAGATAATTGGTTTGAAATCAGCCAAACCAGGGTAAGCAATAGAGGAATCATTATCACATGTTATGTCAAGATTATATTGAGTTTCCGTGATCTTGAACACTGGTTTTAAAATCATGGCATTAGAAGCTGCCTCTCCTACAGAACTGGTCATACTCCGGTTGAAATATGCTGTTTCATGAGGAACAGTTAGACAGAATGTGCTTGTTTCCACTCAGGTTTAGAAGTGTATGGGATTACTCAATTGATGATAAGGTGGATGTGATTAGGATGTTTCCTCTTGTGGGTGAGTCCAGAACTAAGGGACACTGTTTAAAAATTAGGGGTCACCCTTTTAGAACAGAGATTCAGATTTTTTTTCTCTCCAAGGACTGAGCGGCTTATGAACTCTCTGCCTCAGAAGGAGGTGGAAATGGAACCTGAAATAACTCCACAGAGGTCGGTATCCTGTCACCAAGCCCCCTTTTATTTACAGGTGAAGAGCCCTTGGCACTAATCCAGCTCCCTCAGAACTAGCTCTCAGAGAGCACAGGATATCTGACACTCCTGTTTATATCTGTCATCCAGGGCTCCCTGATTGGTGTTGTTAACCCGGTCCAATCAGGGAACTCATATTCTATGAGGTCCACCCGGCTGACCTCGTTACAATCACTACAGAGCCACTGAATATTTTTAAGGCAGAGGTAGATTTTTCTTGTTTGACAAGGGATTCAAAAATTATCGGGAGTAGGTGTGAATGTGGAATTTTGAATTTATCAGATGAGCCATGATCGCATTGAATGGTACAGCAGGACTGAAGGGTGGCCCACTTCTGCTCCTAATTCGTACAATAAAATAATGCACAATTTCCACCTAACACTTCAATTTCTGAATATTTGAGTAAACTTCAAATTAACCTTGCACTTTTAGAAGCAAAAGCAAATTTTACAGGTTTTTAAATATCAAAAAAAATGATATATTAGGAAACTGCTGTACACTAATGAAGCTGTTAAATGATTCATTAACAGCTTCAATATAGTTTTTAAAGTAATTTTCATCAATTTAATATCAGCTTACTCTCAAGTGGAGGCCAGCCCACTTATTAAAAATACTTACATTTAATGATAAACCCATTTGTAGCTTTAATCAATAAATCCGCACTAGCACATCACTCTTTAATACAATCAATACCTTAGCATGCAAGATAAGGAAATAAACAATTACATTCTATTCTACTGTCCCATCGTGCTGGTTCATGGAAGATGCTGCATTTGTCAATGAGCACAAAATTGGGCCATTATTTAATTTCAAAAAAACCAACTTAATTTTGTGCCAAAATTGGTGACTGCATGACACCACTGAGATCAAGTACCAAATAGCTGAACAGATACTACAACAGGGAACAGTTAAGCCGAAAGCAAGCAGTAACAACTACTCAAAAGCCAACCATTTCCCTCTGTAACACTAGTCGCTGTGCTTTTCCGCGCAGCAGTCTGTGGATGTATCACCATGAGAACAATAAATGCTAGCATTTTAATTGTCAGGTCACAAAGTAATGGAACAGTCTTAATGACTGAAACCAGTTTTAGTTCTGATTTTATACTTTGAAATTTCCTGCAAAATTTGAATGAAGTACTAGTCATATGATACCTGACTGTATTACCCTTCCATTGGTGTCAGTACCGTTTTTTTATTGCGATCAGATGAATTTAACATTTGTAATCAATTTCTAGTATAATTCAACGGGTGGTTGCAATTACAAAGGCAATTTGAATCATTAATCCAAGAAATAGCTACTGTTCACCCATCAGAATCCAACTGTTTCCTAAATGTGTTTTTTTGTGTTGTTGCCATTTTAGCTAGCAGAGTATGCTTTGTCTTGTGTCCTGTTTCTGATAACACCCCTCCTCTTCTTCAAACTAATGCCAATGAACTTTCTTGTGTCCACCTGAGAGAGCAGGCAAGGCCTCAGTTTAACATGCTGTGTGAAAGACAGCTCTTACTACAGTGCAGCACCCATCAGTGCTGCACAGGAGTGTCAGCCTTTCTCTTTTAGACTCAAATCTCTGGAGTAGGCTGTAAACCTAGAAACCTCCCGACTCAAAGACATGAGTACTCCCAGTAGAGCTGCTCCTCACGCCTACAATCCTAGCATACATAGCTTCATCATAATAAGGTGCTATATAAATGTAACATACATACATCCAAAACTGTTGACGCATCAATTTAACATTTGCACGTTTGGCATCAGAAGGCTCGTTTCTCAAGAAAAGTCAGAATTTCTCTGCAATAGGGTTAAGGGTTTAAGTGATGTTGACAGTCCACTGTTGAGAGCGATTGTTCTTTCCCCCAGAGCCACAAACTGGCTTCAAAATTGCAGCAGACACAACTGTGCACATCCTCACTCAACAGCACCAGAATCCCACATTATCTGGTTTATAAAATGATGGACCAGGCAGTGCCAACAGCACCTTGTCTAGCGGCCCTGCTCTGAACTGGGAACTCCAGGTTTGGGTCCCGGGACCAGGATTTGGTGACAGCCGGGGTGCTGTCAAGCAAAGTTCGATGGTTAGCCTGTGACAATATAACAATCCTCGCAAACTGAGGCTGATAGGCAGCAAGAGCTGCACAAACCGCTGTTTAACTCGACCTGAGGCGGAGTGGCGCACCTGAAGCCTCTGAACAGACCCGGTGCAGGGGAAGTAAAACAAAATACTAAGCATGGCAACAGATAGTAGCACATGGTTGGCGTTATGGGCTGCCAGGCGGGAAGAGGAAAACTAGGTGCAGGACTGAAAATCTGAAATAAGACACGAGCATCTGGAAAGAAGTCTTTCATGAGTTCTTTAGAAGAGGTGATTGGGTGAAATGTTGATAACTCCTCACTGATCCTCTCTGCACTTCCTCCCCCACCTCCCATAATGTGGTGGCTTTATTTCTATCGCCTTTACGAGAGGCGCACACTGACATCAATCCCCAAAACTGTCAACATGTAGCTCTCGGTACAAATTAATATCAGCGAGCCACCCCAGTGTACCTCCTTCAAGGGCCAATGTGACCCGCGGGAGGGAGGGTGCGTTTAAGCCTTGCGTGAACTATATCTTTTCAATTTAAAACAAAAATAAAAAGTTGCGGGGTTGGGAAGGTTAAAACAAGAAAAAAGTCATTCGGTTTCCGATAACCAGCGACCAAGTGCGGGTGACACTTGTTAGTGTATTTATCAGCTCTTGCTCAAATAGAAAGTTAAGAAAACACACACATTCGCAAGAGAGAGAGAGAGTCAAAGTATCAGTTCAGCAAATCGTGCAAATGTAACAAACAAGATTTGAAAACTGTTAACAAGTTCTGTTGTCATTGATAAGAAACGGACCGCACTTTGCGCCTGGGAAATCCAATCTCTTCATTTCAAGGTTATGTTATTTCCCTGGGCCAAGCAAAAGCTACGGTTGATGTTTATGCACTTACCCGCGGTTCCACTGTTGCCTTTCCTGGGGCTTGTCAGTTTCTCTCGAAGGCAGTAGGTTTCAGCGTGTAATTGCGTTGGGTTAATGTTACTGCCGCGTTTTAATGTCACAACTTAGAACTGTCTCTTCCCCGTCCTTTATGACCCCCCCCCCAGCCCCCCCCCACCCCCACCGTCAACTCTTCCCACCTCTGGTATCTGTTTGTCCTGATCTCTCTCTGTCTGTCTCTCTCTCTCTCTCTCTGCTGTCAAACCGAAAGTCTACTGCAGACTCCGCCTCTTGGCTGCCTCTCACTCATTTTTCCACGATTTGGCGCTCTCTGTCTGGCTCTAAAAGGACACAGAACCTCTCTATCATTCAAAACACAAACACATACACACAAACAGTAACACGCTCAGATGTCGGCGAATCAGATGTCGGCGTTGCTCTGAGTTGCTATAACAGCCCGTTTTGAACATTTAATGGCAAACTCCAAACCTCGGGAGTTCGATACTGCCGTGAATGCATCGAGAATAAGGCTACAGCTGCCACCTGGAGGCATGACAGGGTCCATTGATTGACTGAGAAATGTCAAACTGTAACAGTTTTCAGAGCAACTTCGAACTGAGCAGTGAAGCCTCAGGGATACACACACGTGGAGTCAAAACTGTTGCCAGTCAGATATGTGAATGGTATCACAGCCAGTCTAATTGATGGGTGGGATAGCCCAGCCCTGTACCAGCCAGTATTGATGTGACAACAGCTGGCATTTGTGTAACTGACACCTCCAGCAGTAGAAACGTCCCAAGGTGGGACCACCAAATGCATACGCCTGTCTTTTTGCCATACACACACATACCATCCTGACTTGGAACTGTATTTTGGTTCCCCTGATTGTGGTGGGGTCAAAATGTCGGAAATACCTCCTGATTGCCTGGGCCTTATACCTCCAGCAGGTGGACAGCAGGGGTTCAAGAAGGTGGCTCACCACCAGGGACAGAAATGAAGGGCCCCAATGCTGCCCCTAACCTACTGGGACCCAGCACTGCGACCCCACCCCTAACTGGAGCTTGGTCAGACCCTGGGGCTATGGTTATGAGTACTTGATATACCTCTCTGTCCTGGGTCCTAGTCATGACCATCTCATCAAGTGTTTCAAGGCAAAATACTGAGGAGATCTGAAATAAAAGCAGAAAGAGTTGGAGAAACTTGGCAGGTTTATCAGTGAGAGAATTGCAAGAGTTAACATTTCGAGCCCGGCTTACTCTTGTTTGCACCTGGTCTATGACCCTTCCTCCAATGAGACCTTAACTCTGTTTCTCTAACCCCATGGATGCTACCAGACCTATTGAGTTTCTCCAGCATTCTGTGTTTGCTTCAGATTTCTAGCATCTGCAGTTTGTTTTTATTACTGATGTGATTAATTTGTCTCTTTCATCAGGGATTGTCGGCAACTCCCTTATAAATTCCCCTCTCAGTTTCCTGGACTGCCTCCTCTATTTCCTGGCTCAAATTAATAATTGTTAAGATTCTTAAATAAGAAACTGCCAAACAACTACATGTCACCTTTACCTCTTCATACATGAATTCCTCTGAATGACCTGCTAACCAGCTCTTCTGTGAATCTAGAAATCCTGGTGATAAAAAGCAAGGCTGTTCTGTTGTCGCACTAGAGAGGGTACAGCAGAAATTTACCAAAATGAAGAATTTTACTGAAGCATGATTGGATAGTCCAAGGTTGTTGTTTTTGGGACAGAGGCAGCTATGAGCAATTTTAAATGAGATATATAAAATTATTTAGTGAAGGTCACAAGTCCCTACCTCTGAGTCTGGAGACCTGAGTTCAAGTCCCATTTGTGCCAGAGGTGTGTAAAAACATCACTGAGCAGGTTGATTGAAAAATATAAAATTATGAGGGGCTCAGTTAAAGTGGATAGAATGGAGTTATTTCATATAAGAGAGAGGTCAATAACCAAGGCTCATAGATTTAAAATTCTTGGCAAAAGGATTAAAGTGGAGATAAGAATTTGTGTTTTTTTTTCCTGCGGGTCTGGAACTTGTCTGAAAGGGTAGTGGAGTGAGAAACCCTCATCCCATTTAAAGACTACTTGATATGGCCTTGAGGTCCTGTAACCTTTGGAACTACTGACCAGCAGCTGGAAAGGTGCTATTTTATAACTCTTTATCAGCCAGCACAGACAGGAATGGCCTCCTTCTGTGCTCCAAGTTTTCAGTGCTTCTCTACGTTAATTTGATCCCAGGTGCCTGTCCCCCCTTTGCATTCTTTCATTCATTTCATTTCATTCTACAGAAGAGGTGACACGGTGGCATGGTGGTTAGCACTGCTGCCTCACAGTGCTAGGGACCTGGGTTCAATTCCAGCCTCAGGTGACTATCCTATGTGGAGTTTGCACATTCTCCCCCTGTCTGTGTGGGTGTGCTCTGGTTTCCTCCCACAGCCCAAAGATGTGCAGGTTAGGTGGATTGGCCATGCTAAATTGACTGTAGTGTTCAGGGAGGTGTAGATTAAGTGGGTTATAGGGGTGTGGGTGCTCTGAGGTTTGGTGTGGACTTGTTGGGCCAAAGGGCCAGTTTCCACACTGTAGGGATTCTATGAAGAGCTGTAAACTTATGGTGGCCAGAAGCCAGTTTGGAACAATCTGGGAGGTGAGTTCACAGTGTGGCTGCCACATGTCCTTTCTGGGGAGCCTAGAGAATGGCACAAAGATCTGTAAGTAATCTGATATTTTATCTGAATGAAATACCCAGTTTACTTAAAAAACATTCATAAAATGTTTTACTTACATACTTTCATTTTATGAGTATTATGTATTTTCCTCTTCAATTGATCCACTGTCACTTTTCCATTGTCTGCTAATGATCTACTGTTCTCTTGTAATTTCCTTTTTACATGTCTGAATGTAGTAATTTCACCTCAAAGATGTGCCCTGGGCTATATTATTCTACATGCCCTATTCAGCATTCTATTTGCGTTCTATCACTCATCATTCTCAAGAACATGATCAGATTTCACGTTTGTTGATAGTGTCTAAATTTGTTACCAGTCCTGATTCCATTGTTGTCCTTGTTGATTGCCAACCCACTTGATGTTAGGATCCGAAACAAAGTTTCAGTATATCTCTCACCGCATTGAATGTGTGTCTTATTCTATCCTCATTACCTGAAGCTCATATTGCACAACTTTGACCTTCTCTGCAACCCTGAATTCAAATGTCTACCGAAACCAGTCCATGACAGATTCTGCATTCTTCCACCTGAGTAGAGTTATATTTCTTGATTCCCTCTTGTTGCTAATGAAACTACCATGCTTTCAGCATTTTGATAATTTATTGATTTCAAGTTCTTTTCACAGACCATAGCCTACACAAGCTCTACACATTCAGGTCTTTGTGCCCAAGTTCTCTGAGACTGAACCCCATGCATCCATGAACGACACTCTTGCCTTGATCCTGAGTAACTGCCATCTATTTGATTTCATTCCCATTTTCTCATCTCTCTGCATCAACACTTGATTACAATGACATGGGCATAGCTTCTTTGACCATTGTAACTTGGTTGTACCCCAACATATGTTTTGAATGTTTTGTTTCATGTATCCTCTAATGATATACTTCAAATACCACTTTAGTTTGTATATAACACACCTTCTCACTCTTCCTCTGCCTCTGCCCTCTAGATATAATGACTTCACTATCTGTTAGTGGGCACCTGGAATGTATATGCATGTGGAGAAGGAGAAAGGACAAGAAGAATTAACTTCAACAGTGATGCTAAAACATCCTTCCGCTATAACTCCCCACTGCCCTTGCCTAAACCCCTTTAGCTTTGCATTATACCCAAATGAGCCTCAAAAAGGTTTGCAATTACTTATAAAGAGTAGATACATTGGTATGATTGAGTAGGGCTACCAGCTCCACCAAAATTTGTGAGGTAGTAAATGAAGTTACAATATATATCAGCCATTATCTAAGTGAATGGTAGAACAGGTCTGAGATGCTGAATGGCCTCCTCCTGCTCCTATGCATGAGTTTATGGAGATGTTTTATGGAGGCAATGAGAAAATAACTGTGTCAAATGTATTTTATTGTCTTTATGCTGTTTTATAGAATGTCACTAACTCGAGGGTAATTCTCAATAATGAAGCTATTCTCTGAACAGTGCATTCAGTCAGCAATTTTCAGTAGCCTCCTTATTTCTTAATTATCACCAACTTGTCATAACAATACTATTTAGTAAAAAGATGTCCATCCATTTAAAAAGGGTACTAATTTACATTTTGGCTTTTTGTTGTTGCCAACTACTTAAGTGAAAGAACCCAGTAAAAAAACACCACCCAACCTCTTAGACTAAAATAGAAATTGCAGGTAAAGTTCAGCAGGTCTGGCAGCATCTGTGGAGAGAAATCAGAGTAAACGTTTCGGGTCGAGTGACCCTTCCTCAGAGTCCTCAGAAATCAGAGTTAATGTTTCAGGTCAAGTGAAACTTCCTCAGAATTCACTCGACCCAAAACATTAACTCTGATTTCACTCCACAGATGCTACCAGACCTGCTGAGCTTTTCCAGCAATTTCTATATTTGTCTCTGATTTACAGCACGCGCAGTTCTTTTGGTTTTTAGTACGCCAAACTCTTACTTGCATGGCATCCATCAAAGGAAATTTTGAGGTTAAGTCAGAGTTCTGGAAAAGAATCTAAGATAGATTAGTCTTCGCTTAATTTGAAGTATGCTGGGAATGAAGAAACGTTTTCTGGATTTTCATAATTCAAATGATATGAAGCTTCATTCTGTCATGCTGAAAATGTCAGCAAATCAATCTTTGGTTAATTTATGTTAGCAAAAGGCAAGTTGGTGAGACAGAGAAGCTTAAGTTTTAACTGGTTATATGCCACTACATAAATAAAAGCTGAACATGTAGATCACCGGCGTTTGGTTTCTTCTTAAGAAAATTACAATATTTTAAAATTAATTTGTGGACTGTGAATATCAGTGACAAGCACTAGATGTGTTGCCCATTCATTATTTTCCACTGTAGCCTTCTTGAGCTACTTTTATTATGACTTAATATAACTGAGAGGCTTGCTGTTAAAAACATAAAGTGTCAGAAATACTCAGTAGGTCTCTGGCATCATCCAAGAAGAAAGAAACAGATTTAATTTGCAGGTTGAGGATCTTTCATCAGAACTGGAAAATGTTAGAGATATAAAACATTATAAGCAAGTAAAGAGGCAAAGTGG